CAGCTTCTCGAGCTGTATGGTCGCTCCGATGAAACCAGGCAGGGGGAGGCAGGAAGGGAGGAAGGGGGGAGGAAAATGTACGGGGAGGGCAGAGCGAGGATGGAGGAGAAATCCGAGGAGGAGGAGGAGGAAGAGGAGGAGGAGGAGGAAGAGGAGGAGCAGAGGGAGCGGGAGGGGGAAGGGGAGGAGGGAGCGGGAGGAGGAGTAATAGGCGGATGAGGAAGAGGAGGAGGAGGAGGAGGAGGAGGAGGAGGAGGAGGAGGAGGGCGAGCAGAAAGGCCAGAGGTCTCTTGAATGCTTCTCGGAGTCTCTTCGGATGTCTCTTGAGAGCTTCTTGGAGTACTCTTGGGGCGTCTTGGGAGACTCTTGGCGGTCCCAGTTGTCTCCTGGAGAGTATTGAGTGCCTCGGCGAAGCGTCTTGGGGCCTTCAGGGGTCTCTCGGGAGCCTCTTGGGGACCTCTTCGAGGCCTCTTGGTGCCTCCTGGGAGCCCCTTGGTGCCTTGTTGGGGCACTCTTGGGAGCCTTGAGGGCCATCTTGGGGCTACCTTCGAGGAGTTTGATCAAAGAAGGGCGGGCATTTCATTACGGCCCCTCTTTCTGCAGCTCGTACAATCGCCTTTTTGACCTCTCTTGGAGCGCTCTTGGGTGCTCTTGGGGCTGCCTTGGGATTATATTGGGCTCCTTTCGGGTCTCTCTTGAGGCTTCGGAGGGAGGTCGAAAGGAAAGGGCGAGACGGGCAACATACCTTGATGCCCTGGGGCTTTTGAAGGATTTTGGCGTCTAGGTGACTTCCTTGGGATGCTCCGTGGCCACTTGGAGCCGTCTTGGGGCGGTGTTTGGCCTCTCGGGGCATGTCTGAAGCCATCTGGAGCTGTCTTGAAGCATCTTGAGCCGCCATATTGGAAGTCATCTTCGGCACTCCGAGGCCTTCTTGGAGCCACTATTGGGCCAACCTTGGACGCTCTGACCGCTCGCCGCCCCCTCCTTGCAGGTCCAGGGGGAGGGGGCTGGGGGAGGGGTCACGATACTGCTCCCAGACGCAAGCTGTGTTGGCTCACTCCCACCCGCCCTCCCAACATAGAAGTAGTACAGTGGAAACCCATGTCAAGAAACACCCTGCTTGCCTCCAGGGTGTCCTGGGTTTCTTGGGGTTCGATGGTTCTATGATGGAAAACGTGAGGTCCCCATACAAAACACATCCGTGAGCATCCTGGGGGCTCAATGTTGGATTTCTCGTGGAAGGTTTCCTGCATTCGCGCTCCTACTGCACCCGAGCCTCTTCACATTCGGCGGTCGTCTTTGGATGGGGCGCTGCTGGGAGGCAATCCAGACGCAGGTGCGCGACGCTGGGGTGAGGTGCGCCACGTCGGCCCCCACCACCCTTGGCGACGGCCGAGTGGCCATTATGATGTCTGTCAGTATCGTTTAACCGATCTCCATCCCCATCCCCTTCGAGACCCCCACCAAATTGACACCCCACTTGGGGATACACCCCTCGAAGCCCGAAGGGAACGGCCTATATCCCCATCTAGGCGGGCAAACAGGCCAGTGGGGCCCAGGCCACGCTGGTGGGGATGGGGATCTGATACGCGATACTCAGTCTGGTGGGCCCGCACACGGCAGGCAATATGCCAGCACACCCGCAGTCCCTGTCAGAACGCTGCGAAGTGGTCGTTGGGTACACGCGCATGATCCAGATTTGGCCGCGAAGTGCAGTTCGGATTTTTTCCAAAGGGGATGGTAGCCCTGCGCACAGCCGGCCATCTGCTGGCACCCCCCGCCGTCCTTGTCAAACAGCAGTACAAAGTGCTCGCGCCCCCCCAAAAAACAATCATGACCCAAGATCTTGCCGCAAAGTGCACTTAGCGATGATATTTGGACAGGTATGCTGGGAGGTCGTCATTGTCCCTTGTTCGTTGCCGGTCGGGTGGGGGAGGGGGGATTTAGTAAAGAGGAGCGGTGGTCAACCCCTCCCCGAAGGGGAAGAACGGGGATTGGAAGATGAAACTCGCTAATCCACTCACGCCCACAGGGCTTGTGGAAGTCTGGGTCTTGTAAGCCTTCGGGTGCGCACAGACAGCCCCCCACGATAGCCCTGGTGGCCTCAGTGGTCTCAACACCTCAACCCAGGCCTCATTTTGATTCCTCCGATTCGATTCGATTTCGATGGCTTTCGATTCCGACTCGATTCGACTTGGGATTCCGATTTGGGCTCCGATTTCTCATTGGAGGCATACTAGCCTGCCGATGTCCGCCGATTCGACTTTTCCCGACTTGGCTGCCGACTTCTGCCGATCCGATTCATTTCGATCGCCGATCCGACTTGTCGGTTCGATTCTGGGCTTTCCTGACAACCCTGGTTCGCGGAGCGCCCCAGGTGCGCCGCTGGAGGCGGCGCCAGGGTGTCGAGACCGCCCTGGATAGCTCGGGGGGCCAGTGGAGGCCAGCAGGGACTGCCCGGAGGGGCTGTCCGTGCGCAGGCCGAGGCCTGGCTATCGGGTTCCGAGTGGGGGCTGTCAATCCAGTCCGATGCGGCTCGATGCGGAGCCCGATGTGCTTCACGTCGACGTCGCCGATGCATCGCCGACGTCGACGATGCATCGCCGGTGTATCACCGATAAATCGCCGATACATCGGCGATGCGGTGCGATCCTCCGACCCCATCTATTCGGACCCCATCTGGGAGGCCTCTAGTCAAGGGTGGTAGAAATCTTATATGCTTGGTGACCCCAAGTGTCCCAGCGGACGTGTGAGCGAGGGGTCGGCCTCCGTTGTGGTCGACAGTGCCCAATCCATATCTCGCCCGAGTCTATGCAATTCGTGGTTGAGCGGGTGCGAGCAATCCAGAGTTTGATTTGGTCAGCGCTTTGCGTTTTGCAATGCGATACAGTCGACGCGCATAGTAAGGATGAGCGACTTTCCAAGATTACCCTTGCATCTTTGTCCCGTCGGCCACTCCTTCGATCCCGCGGCCCAGCCTTGCTCCTTCGACCCATTCTAGGGCCCTCCTATCCTTACCACGCATCCTCACTCTGTGTTTTGGCTGCAGGGCACTTTCATTACCCAATCTGGTATGTCGGGAGCAAGCGCGCGGATAGCGCAGAAACCTCGCGAACCGGCGGGGCCCACACAGGGACTCGTTGCCTGGACAGATGGTGAGACGGGCCACGCCTGGAGCCAAGGATGCGAGGCGGGGATTTATACGGAACCGCTTCCTGGAGGATTGCTTTTCGGAGATTTCGACAGGCGGTGGACATGGACATGCTCGGGTCCTCTGGGGCCCAAATGTATCCATGTCCACAGCCCGGTAGGGTCCCAGGACGTCCGATCTACAGGCGGTGGATCTGGACCTATCCCCGCCTCGCAAAGGAGGTCTCTAGCAGAGGCTTACAGTGGCAAGCTGCAGCACAGAGTACAGCCGAGTTTGATTCGTAGGTCGGCCCCTCCAAATCAAGAGTGCCTTTGTGTCCTGGCTGTCGCGACCCATGCCCGCTGCATCCCCGTGGCAATGTGGCCCTCCAATCGAACTCGACTGTAGCATAGTAGGGGTACCCTGCGCTCAACGGGCAGGTGGACTCGTTCTTCGACGAAGCGCGTTCCAATCCCACAGGTCCCAGGAGAACTCTGCGGCCTCCAGAGGACCTCGCCAGTCCCACCGTGTTTAGAACAAAGGGCCCCACACATCTGATCGCCGACCCTCCATGGTTCACCGAGCGCGTTCCACTGCTCGCAAAGTGCCCACTCGCGAACCCCAGGAAAAAAACACATGTCCGCCTCTATGTAACGGATCGTGAATTCCCCGCGGCCATTTGCGTGTAGTTACTCTCAGGAGAGAAAACTATTGGGAAATATGGGAAGTGGGGGGGGGAAGACGAAAACACATAACAAATGGGATAACATTGGGAATCCTTGGACTTGTGTCTAGTTATTTGTGTGTCCCAGGGCCCCTGTCATACTTCGCGAGCAGTGGAGCATGCTCGTCTATTGCTGGGGCCACATCTGGAGCCGAGCGTTCCCTGCCCCCCTCTTCGGCCTCGCCCTCCTCTTTTCGTCCGCACGCCTCTGACTTGGCTTTTCCTGGTACGGTCGGGGCTGGACTTATGTCGGGCCTGTCCCTCCACAGGGGGGATATTCAAGCATATTTAAAATATGACGGGGATTTTTTTGTTAAACAAATCTTTTGTCTTGTTGGCATGTTTTGTATATTTTCGAGTATTTTTAATTTTCCGTCCACAATCTTCCTGTAGGAGGACATGCCCGACCTAAGGCTGGACTTCCGACCTGTGTCCCAGCAAGAGTGGCCCGTTCCCTGTTCCAGGTGCCTCTCGGTGTAGTCTGCCGCGCGTCGGCGCCCCTCTGCGACCAGACAGGCACGCAGGCGCGCAAGTCTCACTCGAACAAACAACGACTCCGGCCCCGCCTCCTCCTCCTCCTCCTCCGCCTCCTCCTCCGCCTCCTCCTCCTCCTCCTTTTCCTCCTCCTCCTCCTCCTCCTCCTCCTCCTCCTCCTCCTCCTCCTCCTCCTCCTCCTCCTCCTCCTCCTCCTCCCCCCCCCCCGGGAGCCGAAGGAGCGATGCCCGACGCGCTGCTGGCGGACTCGGAGAAGCGCCCGTAGGCGCGCGGGCTGGCTGCCCGGCGTGCTATGGGCCGGCCCGACCGATCCGTGCGGGGAGCAGGCCAGTCGGATGGGAAAAGCACAGCCACAAACAGTCGTCGCCCTTGAAAATATGGACTCTATATGGGAACTGGAGGGGAAGACGAGAGCACCCAGGAAATATGGAAAGACCTGGGAATCCTGGGATGTGTGTGTACTTATTTGTGTGTCCCTGGGCCCCTTCCACGGGATGTGTATTTATTTGTGTGTACTTAATTTGTGTCCTGGGCTGTGTGTGTACTCTTTTTGTTTGTTTGTTTGTGTGTGTGTGGGTGTATCTGGGATCGAGCGGGGAGGGCTCGAGCGGGGCCTGGGGCGGCCGGCTCCGCGGTGCCCAGCCCACCTCGCGGCGCGCGGCCACAAGGTGCCGGCGCTCGGCGGGGTGCGGCGGCGAGGAGCGCCGCTCGGGCTCGGCGCGGCAGCGCGAGAAACGGACTCGGCCCCTGCGCGCGCCGCCTCTCGCCACTTGGTTCGACCTCCTACCCTGACACGTCGATTGAGGAATTGGCCGTTTTCGGTTCGCGAGGGGGCGTCGCGGCCGTCATTTCTGCGGGTCCAGGTCCAGTTTCGGTCCCAGGCCGTTTTCACTCTGGAGAGGTTTACTAAAGGGAGGTTTGTCCACCGCCGATCCTCCCGCTCCTCCTCCCCCTCCTCGCCAGGGCACCCAGCGTGTGTCCAGGGGATTCTCGTGCTTTGCGGTTGCGGGGTGGGCTTCGCCTAGATTGTGTCTGCATGTTTAACCCATCCCTGCTGAAGAGAACCGTGCTTCACAGTCGTGGGGCGGCCCTTCGACGGGAGGGCAGTCGTGTGGCAGCCCTATCCCTTTGGGCGAAATTTGTTCGGCCATGTCATAGCCTACAGTTGATACTTGTGTTTCACGGTTGTGGGCCGACCCAGGGGCCAGTTGTAACTTGTGCTTCGCGCTTCGCAGTCGTGGTGCAGCCCTCTGGGCGATTCACAGTCGTGGGGCAGCCCTATCCCTTTTGGGCGAAAGTGGTTCGGACATGTCATAGCCTACAGTTGATACTTGTGTTTCACGGTCGTGGGCCGACCCAGGGGCCAGTTGTAATTTGTGCTTCGCAGTCGTGGTGCAGCCCTGTGGGCGAAAGTTGATAGGCTACGTTAGAGCTGATATTTTTTGGGGGCGATGTAGTAGCGTATAGCTGAGTGTAAGGGGGCAGGGACCCAGACCAAATTTGCTCATGCATATTCAAAGGGAACGAGCAAGGTAATACATTACTTGTGTCCTAAGAGACAGCCTTGATAATCCTTCTTCTCCTCTCCTCCTCCTCTTTCCTCCTCCTCGTTCCTCCTCCTCGTCTTCTTCCCGTTCAGAACTGCTCATAGCCAGGCGTAGTGCCCGTGGCCGGCGGGATGCCCAGCCCCCTTTGGAATCTCTCTGGCGTTGCTGGAGAACGTTCTCTCATATCTCCTGCTGCCCTCCCTTTCTCATGCCCGACGATGGTGCCGACAGTGGTAGCTGGGGCGTGAGTGACTCGGGCCAGGGTGAAGAGGGGCGGGTCAGTGGACCAGCAGCAGCGTCAACAGAGGGCAACGAAGTGCTGGCTGTGCCAACAGACGAAAACCGGTACCAATATAAGATAATCACCACAAACACATGTAGACGACGTCTGGTCTAGGCCAGGATGGTGGTGGCAACCCTGATATTTGGTTGTGGGGGTGGAAGCTTGGGCACCTTCCGCCAGATGGAGTTTCCAGACAGAGCGCCCACCAGATTTCAGTGCACCCCCACCGTTTCCTGGTTTGGAGCACGTGGGTCTTCACGCATCGACATTGAAGATCTGGTCACGACGTACGTAAAACCAGCCAGCAGGTTTCTCAATGAGCTCTAGGCCAAGTCCAGGAAAATCCGATATGAGTTGGACGGTGGGGACAGCATTGATCGAATTCTGTTGCATCTCAAGTTGTTGAACGCAGAACGACCTGGAGATCAGGAGCGCGAGGCTCAAGGGGCGAGCCGGGAATCGGCATCGCTAGTTGTCCGACGGCGAGAGGGGGAGAAAAGAAGGGGCTCACGCGGCGGGGGCCGCGGCGGAACGGCCGGAGCGGCCAGCCAGTACTGCACCCCTGGTAGCGGGCGCGGGGCGGCGTCGCGGCCACACCCAAGAACGTGCTGCGCAAATCATCCATTGGAGATGTTCGAACGCCCACAGCGGAATCTCGCCAGAGACTCTTCTGGAATGATCGCGGCAGGCCATCGCCCCACTGGACATGTGAATGGCGACCAGTGTGATATGAAGAAGGAACCTCCCACCGTTATGCAAATCGAGTCGAGCCCCATCAATTAGGAGTAACTATCACGAAACACCCACTGGCGAATCACAACGGACCTCCCGCCCAAGAAACATAAAGGAATACGTTTGTCTTGCTTGCCCTGTGGGCCTCTGCCAGGCTCAGCTGAAAGCTCCGCGACAAAGCAGTCCCGCGGTTGCCTCCTCGGCTGGAGCGCCTGTTGCCCTCGCCTCGGCCATCGCTAGCTCTCGAAAAAGATCTAGCCCCTCGGTCCTGATAGCCTCGCGCGGCAAAAGTCGCTACGGTGCTGGAGTCAAACGCGCCAGCAGTCAACCAGCCGTAATCAATTGTGGCGGCAGCTTCGGCCTCGGCGTCGGCACGCAGGGCCCCAGGGGCGTGGCCTCGACCGCCTCCTGCAGCCGCCGCCGAGCCGCCTCCTTCTCCGCCGCGCGGCTGTCGGCCACTGCCTGGCAGTCTGCTTGTCCTGCCGCCTCCGTGCCGGAGATCGCCTCGCGCCGCGGCGCCGCGTACAGCCTCGTCAGTGGCCCCATCGTCAAGTCCACTTTAGCGCTGCATAGCCACAGTCGGTTCCCGGACCAAAACCGACTCCAGCACGACCACCGTCGCCATGTTCGCCAGGATTGTCATCGCCAGATGCCAGGCGCCGTCAGCGCCACGTGGAGCGCACGAGGGCTCCCGTGCAGAACAGGCCTCGCGACGGAGACCACGTCGAAGTCTACCACGTGGGGCCAGCTCCAAATCGGCGTCGTTCTGGATGGTTGTGTCCAGTATGAGCGCTTGCCGCCGCGCAGCGGCAGCAGCACCACTCACGGACGGCACAATCTGAGCACGAGGGAAATTTTACGCACTTGCTGATCCCACTGGCGCATTTGTGGGCACGGCCGGTCCGCGCGGCACGTCATCGGCACCAACGCCGCCAGCACCTCCCGGTCACTTCGGCGCGAGTGCTGACGCGCGGCCTGTGCACGCCTGGAAGCCGCCGAACGGCGGGGGCGCCCAGCGCGCCAGGGCGGGTCCATCGCGCGAGACAGCGTCGGCGGAGGCGAATGCTGCTGGGCTGTGTGTTTCGTGGCCACCTTAGAGGCGATTTGAGCCTGGGCTGGGCGGGGGCGGGGTGAAACAAGGGACTGCCGAGGGGAGCGCGGGGACGACGACGACCGGGCGGGTCGGCCCGCGGCCATGAAGGGAAGCGGAGCGCGGGGCCCCCGCGGCGCTGCCGCCCGCGATGAGCGGCGCTTGCGCCAGCATTGCGCTGCCCGCCTGCAGCGCGGCCCTTGGTTTGCAGCAGTGGGGGCAGGGATCACGGTTTGTTCTTAGTCGGCGGCGTGACGATGGCGGAAATTTTCGAACGTTTTCGTCGTTCCTTGGCGTTTTCTTGCCTCGGGATGCGTTTCAGCAGCTGCGTCTCGCCGAGAGGCAGACAGGGGTGTCCGGATCGTTCTGAACGGCCTCCACAGAAACTAGTTTCGGCGGGTGTCAGAGTCGGAAAAGATGCTGATACTGCTGCCCTTGAGTTGTTTTCGCCCCTTTTGGGCCTCCTCAAGAAGCCCTCGTCGCCACGGTTGGATTTTCCTCCGAAGTCTAGTCAGAACGCACCCTGGGAGGGGTCGGGGGATCAGCGGTATCGATAATCTCAGTCACCCCAAGGGAGGAAGGTTGTTGTTTCGTCGGCGGCGCGCCTACGGGGAAGTGAGAGGCGGCAGGCCTTCTCAACAGGCGGCGGGTTTTCTGGGAGGTCATAGAATCGGAGGTTGATAGACCTCCTACCATGACGCGTCGATTAAGGAATTTGCCGTTTTCGGTTCGCGAGAGGGCGTCGCGGCCGTCATTTTTTGCGGGTCCCGGTCCGTCGGTTTCGGTCCCAGGCCGTTTTCACTAAAGGGAGGTGTGCTAAAGGGAGGTTTGTCCACCGCCGATAGAAAGCCTTTCAGTCGGCCAGATGCCTTCTGATACTTCTGACAGCGTGCGCCCTCTGGCGGAGGTGGAGGAGCTGGAGGGTGTGGATGCGGAGGAGGTTTAGGAGGTAGAGGCTGATCAGGAGAAGGAGGAGGAGGAGAAGGAGGAGGAGGAGGATGAGGAGGAGAAGGAGGAGGAGGAGGTGCAGGAGGTGCAGGCGGCGGAGTAGGTGGAGGTCGTGGAGGAGAGAAGGAAGCGGAAGGATGTATGGTGGGCAAGCTCACACGTTTTTTGTTGTGGAAGCAGATCGGTCACATTGATATTGTTGAATGGTTTTCTTACACATACAGATATACATGCACACACACATATCAACAACATTAGATATACCGAATCATAGTAACCGTGCTAATGCTGAACATATAAGGAACATCAGAAAAGTAAAGTTAAATAGGCACACATATTTCCACAACGTGCAACCCCCAGGTCTAGAGCCTTTCCCAGGGCTGCTTTTCTGTCCTGAGTCGCTTTCTCACAGTCCCACGGCCCAATGAGGGCCCCCGGACGCCGAAAATAGTCAAAAGCCGCCCGCCGGGATTTGTCCGCGAGGGGAGAAGGTATGGAGGGAGGGAGTGGCGAACCTTTGGAGGCCTCCACGACTGGGGGCGTCTGGAGCAACAGGAAGAGAGAGGTTCTACCCGTACCCATCGGTCTTGAACGTGGGTATCTTGAGCTTCCCAGAAGATCACGAATTGGCTCTCTCTCCTTCCTGTTCAGGGGGCTGGCAGACGCGCGCTCTGTTTCCATGATGATGGTGATGATGATGACGATGGTGGTGGTGGTGATAATGATGATTGTGGTGGGGATGATGAAGCTGATGCTGGTGATGATGCTGATTCTGATGATGATGACGATGGTGGTGGGTATGGTGATGATGATGCTGACGAGGACGATGAACATGATTATGATTGTGATGGTAATGGTAATCATGATTATGGGGATTACGGCGATTGCGCTTGCGATAACGACGACGATTACGATGATGATGTTTCTGATGATGATGGTGATGCTGATGATGATGCTGCTCCTCATGCTGATGATGATTTTGATGATGATGATAATGATGATGATGATGCCGATGCTGTTGATGATATTGATAATAATGATGACGAAGACGATGGCAATGACGCGGGTGATATTGACGGCGATGATGGTGATGATGATGATGTTACTAATGATGGTGGCGATAGCGATTGCGATGGCTTTGGCGATGACGATGACGAGGGCGATATTGACGACGATGATTAGTCTGATAATGATGATGACGGCGATGATGGTGATGACGAAGGTGATTGTGACGACGACAATGACCATGACGATGATGCTGACGATGATCATGGTGGTGGTGGTGATAGTGATGATTGTGCTGGGGATGAAGATGATGGCGATGATGGTTCTGATGACGATGATGGTGGTGGTGTGTATGATGATGATGATGATGATGATGATGATGATGATGGTGATGATGATGTTGACGATGACGATGATGGTTATGGGTGTGATGATGATGATAATCATGACTATGGTTCGTTGGCGATTACGCTTGCGATAACGAGGACGATTTCGATGATGGCGTTTTTGATGATGAAGTTGATGCTGATGATGATGATGATGATGATGGTGATGATGTTGATGATGCTGATGATTATGATGATGCCGATGCTGATGATGAGGTTGATGATGCTGATGACGACGAAGACGATGGCAATGACGCTGGGGATATTGACGACGATGATTGTGATGATGAGGGTGGCGATGGCGATGGCGATGACGAGGGCGATAGTGACGACGATGATGATGAGTCTGGTGATTATGATGCTGATGATGATGTTGATCATGATGATGATGCTGACGAAGGTGATTTCGATGATGATGACGATGACCATGACGATCATGATGATGCTGAAGGATGTTGTTGTTGATGTACATGCTGATGTTGGTGATGCCGATGACGATGATGACGATGGTGATGAGTGTGGTGGGGATGATGGTGAAGATGGTGGTGATGATGATGATTCTGATGATGATGACGATGGTTGCGGGTATGCTGATGGTGACGATGTTGATGGCGGTGGTGGTGGTGATAGTGATGATTGTGCTGGGGATGATGATGAATATGATGGTGATGATGGTTCTAATGATGATGACGGTGGTGGTGTGTATGATGATGAAGATGATGATGATGATGATGTTGATGATGCTGATGATGATGATGTTGACGATGACGATGATGATTACGGGTGTGATGGTGATGATAATCATGATTATGGTTCTTTGGCGATTACACTTGCGATAACGATGACGATATCGATGATGCTGATATTTTTGATGATGCTGCTGATGCTGATGCTGATACTGCTGCTGCTGATGATGAGGGCGATGGTGATAATGATGTTGATGATGATGGTGATGCTGCTGATGCTGATGATGCGATTGGTGCGATTGATGATGCTGATGACGACGAAGACGATGGCAATGACGCTGGTGATATTGACGATGATGATTGTGATGATGAGGGTGGCGATGGCGATTGCGATGGCGATGGCGATGACGAGGGCGATATTGACGACGATGGTGATGATGCGTCTGGTGATTATGATGATGATTACGACGATGATGTTGTTGCTGATGATGCTGACGAAAGATTCGATGGCGATGAAGATGACCATGCGATCATGATGATGCTGATGCATGTTGTTGTTGATGTGCATGCTAATGTTGGTGATGACGATGATGACGATGATGATGATGATGAGTGTGGCGGGAATGACGGTGAAGATGGTGTTGATGATGATGATTCTGATTATGATGCCGATGGATGCGGGTATGCTGATGATGATGACGATGACAATGATGATGATTATGATTGTGATGGTGATGATAATCATGATTATGTTTTTTTTTATATGGCGATTGCGCATGCGATAACGATGACGATTACGATGATGGTGCGATTGATGATGATGCTGATGCGGATGCTGATGCTGATGATGATGATGCTGATGATGATGATGTTGATGAGGATGTTGGTGTTGATGCTGATGATGCGATTGATGATGCTGATGACGACGATGACGATGGCAATGACGCTGGTGATTTCGACGATGGTAATGATGATGATTTTGATGACTATGATGATGAGGATGGTGACGATTTTGATGATGAGGGTGGCGATGGCGATTGCGATGGTGATGACGATGACGAGGGCGATATTGACGACGATGATCATGAGGAGTCTGATGATTATGAGGGTGTTGATGGTGCTGATGATGATGCTGATGATGACGAAGGTGATTTCGATGACGAGGTCGATGACCATGACGATGATGATGATGCTGATTCTGATGCTGCTGCTGACAATGCTGATGATGGTGATGATGTTGATGATGATGATGATGCCGATGCTGATGATGAGATTGATGATGCTGATGACGACGAAGACGATGGCAATGACGCGGGTGATACTAACGACGATGACGGTGATGATGCTGATTTTGATGATGAGGGTGGCGATGCCGATTGCGATGGCGATAGCGATGATGAGGGCGATATTGACCACGATGATGAGGAGTCTGATGATTACGCCGAAGATGATGCTGAAGCTGATGATGCTGACG